CAATATTTTCACAGGTGTCTCCTTGAGGAAGAAATGCCCCATTCAGTGTCCCCAGTACCAGGATTATTGTCTCCTAATCACTCCTCTGAGTTTCCCAGCCTCCTGCTCTCCAACTAATGTCAGAAGCCCCCACTGCCCACATTTCTTTAGACTAATCTAGGTGATAAGTCTTGATTTGCATTGCCACTGATCCTTGCAATAGGAGCTGGCTTGTGTTCTCCTGAGGGATGCATCCTGTTTCTGTCTCTGCTCCCTACAGAGGCACTCTGGGGAGACTTTTAAATTGATCTTATCAGTTTTCCCTTACCATGGCACACTGAGTCGTCTTTGAGTGCTGGCCCCTATTTCACTTTGGGGTATGCAGGGGCAACATGCACTTGAGACCGGAGAATTGCTTGTAGGCAGCATCTATTGCCCTGTGCCTGCGCCCCAGCTCTCCTTGTGCCCCACACTGAGCGTATAAAGGGTGGTGTGGATCAATTGCCTCTCTAGTTCTTTCTTACTGCTGCATGGCCTGTATTAGAATCCTTCAATGTCTAGAGCTTCTCCTCTCTCTTCATCTATATATTCAAAGTTAAATTATTCTTCCTTGTTGTTAGGGTTGGCTAGTTTTAGAGTCCTCACTCCAGGGAACCCTCACAGTCTCCCAGTGCAGGATTTGGCTTATGCCCATGATTCTGGGCTTCAAAAACTGTTTCTTGTCCCCGCTCCTTTTCACTCAGTGATGACCACCAGTACTATCTCTACTGCCTTGAGCAGGTGCATATCTCCAAGTGCAGTGTTAGATGCTCCTTCCCCAGCCAAATGCAGTAGGCACGAGAGCGCCGACTTCAAAAACTCCACCTGGAGCAGGTAATGAGATGTCAGGAGTAAGGCCCTGCAGCTGTGCCTGCTCAGTCCTCCTGGCACCATAACAAGCCAGCTAGGCTGCCCGATGGACCACGCTGCCGCATTGGCTGAGGAAGTCAGCCAGCTTAAGCCCAGCAGCAGCAGTAGCTCACTGGCTGCTCAATGCACACAACCATGGACTCCCTGCTTCCCTGTGCTCGTCTGTCTCCAAGCCCTGCTCCTGCTTTGCTCCTCCACAGCTCCAGCCCAGATCCTGCCCTGCACCCAGCCTTATTCCCATCCTGACCCAGCCTTGCTCCTGCCTCAGAACCAGCCCTGCTTCTGCCTTCCTTGACTCCTGGCAATCTGATTCCGACTCTCGGCTCTGACTCCAACTCTGTCTTGACTCTGGGTTCTGTCATTCAGACTCTGTCTTGGTTCTGACACTGTCGTGACCCTAGGTTCTGGCTTTCAGACTTCAACCACTAGGTCTGACTTCTACTCCAACCACTAGGAATGACAGCTTATGACCCGGTCTGCTGACATGAGACTCCAGTCTGACCAGGCCAGGGAGTCCCCACCTGTACATTGGCCAGAGTCGGCAAGGTGCATGCCCACTAGCTCTGTGCCTGACTCCAGAGCCGAGACGGGCAGAGAGAAGGACCCTCTGGCTGTGCTCCCTCATGAGAGTAAGGGGCATTTTTGCAAACAGAAAAGCTGATCCCCTCTTAGACCCTCTAAGAAAAGACATCCCTCCTCGGACTCATCCAGGTCAGGCAAGCCTTCCGGCTTGGCCACAAAGACTTAGATCATTCTAAGTCACATGGGCATAATCAGAAGACACAAAGGAGCAAGGCTTCTTCGGTACCAGCTTTTGAATTGACATCGACTGTGGTACTATCTAAACCAAAGTACCGAGACCTGAAAGATCAGGGACCACCAGTACCATCGGAGATCATCAGGTCAGAGAAAATCACTAGTAGTACTATCACAGCTCCATAAGGAACCACCACCTACTACGACTTCAGTGGCATGGAGTGACAGATCACAACCTCCAAAGGTAATGGTCACTTATACCATTCCTGACGATGTCTTCATCCTGCCAGACCCACAGTCTCCCTTGTTGTCGAGACTGATCCTCACCAGGAGGATACAGTCTCTTCTCCAATGAAGAGTAATACAGCAGGTATCCCCTCAACATCAGGGAAAAGGGTTCTACTCAAAGTATTTCTCAGTTCCCAAGAAGAAAGGAGGCTGGAGACCCGTTCTTGCCCTGTGTCAACACAATGTTCTTGTTTGCAAGCTGAAATTCTGCATGTTTATGTTGGCATCCATAATACCATCCTTAGAAAAAGGCACACGATTTACAGCTCTCAATATGAAAGAGATACTTTCATGTGGACATTCATCCCTCTTGCAGACGATCTCTCAGGTTTGTGGTGGGCCCTCACCACTGTCAGTACAAAATGTGCCTGTGTGGGATAGCTACAACTCCCACAGTCTTCACAGAAGTGTTCTGAAAAGTAGCAGCTTAGCTCAGACAAGGCGACGCCACAGTCTTCCCATACTTGGACAACTGGCTTCTGACTGGCAGGTCTTGCCTGGAAGTCTCAACATTAAGCTTGTTGCTGCTCCTTTTAGTATCCCTGGAAATCAGTGTAAACATGTAAAAATCTACCTTGTCTCCAACACAGACCATAGAATTTATAGAAGTAATATTGGATTCAATCAAGGCGAGAGCCTATCTTCCCAGGGACAGAATTCATGCCATAGGCGCTCTCATAGACCTGGTTACACACAACCCTTGAACATCAGTTTGGATGTGCCTTACTCTCTTGGACCATATTGTGTCCTGTATTTATGTAACACCATTTGCCAGATTCCACCTTCGTTGCCTGTAAGCTTGGCTCTGAGCAAGCATAGCATGAATACCATAGTAACAATTCCCTCTGAGGTGAGGGCCCATCTGCCATGATGGAGAGCCCCTTAATGTGTGTGTGACATCAACCTATTTGCAGTATACCTCCCAGGCACCCAGAATTCACTGGCGTGACTAGTGACAAAATGCCTGCTGAGGCTGGTTGAGTGGGAGTTACCTGATTCTGTAGTAAACACCTTAACTGAGTGGGGAACCTACACTTGGGAAGTGGAAAATAAACTGCTCCAGCGAAAGCCCAAGGTCAGTACTCTAGGGCCAATGCACTCCTCCTATCTTGGACCAATCACTTTGGTTATGTCTTTCCTCCCATCCTGCTTACTACCTCGAGTTCTACAGAAATTTGACTAGACAGGGCACAAGCCATCCTCCTTGCTCCCAGCTGACCCAAAGCCAGACAATTTTGGTTTCCAAGCCTCCTTCAAGTGTCATCCTGTCCACGTATCAGCATTCGGACTTGTGCGGATCTCCTGACCCACAAAAGTGACAGGGTCAGGCATTCCAGACCGCATGCTCTTCATTTTTTGGCTTGGTGTTTGGATTGTCAGCAAGCCTAGAACACTCCTGCTCTGAAGCCATACAGGTCATCATTAACAGTAGCAGGAAGGACTCCACTAGAAAATACTGCCTTTCCAAATGGAGGCAGTTCTCTGTCTCAACAGAGACAGAAGATATTTCAGCTATTTTGGAATATCTTCTTACCCTCAAGGTGGTGGGCCTCTTTCTTAGCATGGTGCACTTTCATCTGGCAGCAGTTAGTGCGTGTTGTCTGCCAATGGACAGTTACTTGATCTTTACCTGCCTGGTAACAGCCAGGTTTTTGAAGGGCATGATCAGAACCTTTCTGCCAGTCAAGAAACCAGCCCCTGACTGGGATCTTAATTTAGTGCTCTCCATACTCTCTGAGCCACCCTTTGAACTGTTAGCTATGTGTTCCATGTCTCACTGTCAATTAAGGTTGCCTTCCTCATTGCCAGTAGGGTAGGTGAACTTGGAGTGTTAATGGTTGACCCACCGTACACTATATTTCATCAGGATAAAGTCTTGCTATGACTACACCCCAAAATAAATGTCTAAAACTGTTTCAGAATTTCATGCAAACCAGTCAATTTACTTACCTGTATTTTTCCCAAAGTCCCATCCCCCTAGTGAGGTGGGGAGACTTAATTCCCTCAACATGAGATGAGCATTGACATTTTACTTCAGAGAAGGAAACAGATCAGAAAATCACCTAGACTGTTAGCAGAACACGTATGAGGATAAGCGGTATCCTCTCAGAGAATCTCCATGTGGATCTCTGGCTGTATCCTATTCTATCAGTTAGTATAGCTTCCTCCCCCACATGGGGTAAAGTCTCACTCTATAAAGGCACAGGCAGCCTCTGTAGCATCACTTCAAGAGATGCCTCTGATTTATATTTGCAAGGCAGCTACGTGGAGTTCCATCCACACATTCATGAGACATTACATGGTCCAGAACACCTCCTGCATCCTCACACCCTCCTCCTCTTTAAGTACTGGTTGTAAGTCACCACCAAGAGAATACTTTCAGGGATCAGCACTCGAAGAAGAAAGAGAAGTTACTTACCTTTGTTGTAACTGGAATTCTTCGAGATGTGTGGTCTCTACTTGCATTCCACTACCCACCCTCTTCCCCTCTGCTTCAGATCGTGATCTGATTTGCAGTAAAGAAGGAACTGGTGAGGCGGTCAATCCGCCGCACCCCTTATGCCCTCGATGCAGCGCATGAGGAGAGCTGGGGCACAGACATGGGCCAACAGACTCTGCTTGCAAGAATTCTCTAGTCTCAGGTGCATGGAGCACATGCATACCCCCTAGGGGACTACAGATAGGGACCACACATCTCAAAGAACTCCAGTTACAGTAAGGTAAGGAACTTCCCTTTATTGACTGCCCCTGACGCTGTGACACAGTTTCACTTTAATTATGTAAAATCTGGGATAAATGAGGGAGAAATATACCCCTTAATCTGTGGAAGATACTGTTTTCCTCTATTTCTGAATGTATATTGTTTCTACGGATGAGGCACGGTGGCAGCACATTAGGTGTCTAACTCCTTGTGACAAAGAATTAATTATATGAAGGAAGAAAAGCCTTTGTGGATAACTGCGGGAGTGTAAGCAATCTGGAAAAATAATTCATATAGTATAATGGAGAATACTACTATGCTAGCAGTAGTTCATTCAGATTTTGTAATGCTTTCTTTCGTTTTTTAGGTGTGGCTGGACCTTTTGAAACCTATTATGAAACAGATTAGAAGTAAGTGCTTTCTTTGTCATTTACTGTATCCATCCAAAATCGTTGAATTAGATCAGCAGTTCTCAAACTGTCAGTCAGGACCCCAAAGTGGGCCGCGACCCTGTTTTAATGGGGTCACTAGGGTTGGTTTAGACTTGCTGGGGCCCGGGACTGAACCCAAAGCCCGAGCCCCACTGCCCGAGGGCTTCGGCTTCGTCCATGGGTGGCGTGGCTCAGGTTACAGGCCCTCCTCCCAGGTCTGCGAGGCTGGAGCTTTGGCCCCCCGACCTGGGGCAGTGGAGCTGGGGCAGGCTCAGACTTCGGTGCCCCTCCTGGGGTTGTGTAGTAATTTTTATTGTCAGAAGGGGGTCGTGGTGCAATGAAGTTTGGAAACCCCTGAATTAGATGAAGAGGGGCTCTCTCAATTAGAACATTAACTTCATATTTTGTTTGGATTTTTTTGCCATCAGATATATACCTATAATACATATTGTGTACTATTAAGTTATATTCATAGTGATATTTTAAAATCAAACGGTCTGGTAATTAAAATTCATCTTTGGTAGCCAACCAATATTTTGTTTAATAGCTAATGTTTATACACTCACACAACTCACCTTTGATCAGTGTTAGAATTTGTTACAATAGCGAGGAAAGAATGCAATTTAAATGTTATCAATTTACATTTATATATAGCCTGCTTAAGTTATTGATCATATCCCTTTGCTATTGAGCATGCTGAGTCAATTTCTACCGAACACGATAATGATCATGTTTCTGTATGTAAAGTGTTTTACTTTTGTCATTTCTGGTTTTAAACTAAACTTTATGTAGAAACGCACATGGAGGGTTTATTCCAAAGCCCATTGAAGGGGCCAGACAGTGACAGATTTTAGAAAGTTGTTTCATATACAAGAGGTAACAGCTTTATTGATAGTGGCAGCAAGGTGGGACACAAGGATGTGGAGACAGGAATATATGAGGAATATATGATGAAAGAAAGAAAGAAAGAGATTAACAGAAACAGTAGTTTGCTTAAGGGCGCAAAATTGTCAGCAATATTCAGGGTGGGGGAAAGAAAGAGAAGGGAGTAGAGAAGAAGTGGGAAGGTGTTTAGGCTTCCTTTTATGATCTATTAAATAGATGTTATTGACTAATCTGAGGAACGTCAAAAATACTAGCAGGAGACACAGACTAATACATATTATTTTAGACTTAATAGTCTATTTCTGTATGAGAATGTGCAGACTGTTACAAATGTTTCATGAATTTTCCTTGGTCTTTTTGCTAGGACCTAAGCATGTTGTCGTAAAATTTGTGGTGAAATTCTTTCCACCAGATCATGCTCAGCTGCAAGAAGAACTGACAAGGTTAGTGATTCTGTAATTCTGTTTTTTAATTCCTTAATGGATATGAGTGGGGAGGAAAATGGGAAGCACCAGGAGATGAGGGCAAAGGTTCTATCTGAGTATCCCTTCCATTACCTCTCCTCCTCGTGGGAGGTAATTCACTGGACCTCATCGTGCTAAGGAGCACCAGGGAGACGTGATGCAGGAGCCCCCCCATTTCTTATCAAGCCTCAGAGGAAACACAATGCAGCAGGAGGTTTCCAGGAGCAGCAGTGGGATAGGGGAACTAGCCAAACTCCCTTACTTTCATCCCCAGTGGACCTGAACAATGGAGGAACCTGGCCCCCTTGAGAACTCCTCTCTGTTTGGGACCATAACCCGACCATCTGGGAGAAGATAGCTCTGCCTGAGGCTGCCGGGTGCAGCTGCTGGACCACACGTTCACATAGTCCTTATGAACTCATAAGATTCACAAAAATGATTTTATGACTGTTGTGGGGGGCGGGGGGGCAGGGAACTGTGAGGGAGCGGAGCGAGTAGGATGAGGTATAAGAGGAAACAAGGGAGAAAATATATATCTACTACAGCTAAATTGTATACTTAGATATGTGCTTAATTTTTGATTCTCATTAAAGTGGCGATTTAAACTTTATTCAGTTTTGTGAAGGAATACACACTAGCTCAGTTCTCTTATCAGAAAAAAAGTATATTCCTGTGTGTGTGTGTGTGTGTGTGTGTGTGTGTGTGTGTGTGTGTGTGTGTAG